ATTTGTCTGTTTCTAGTTGTCGTTTGACGGCCTGTTTTTTGAATCTCATTCCTTGTCATCATAAGTCATAACATAAATAATAAAATAATATTTCATCTGTATTATTTCAATTGACCAATTTTTGACAAAAATACTACAAATGTGGCCATTATGGCCTTGCAAAACATAGGTATTTGTTAAGAGTTTATTTAGTTATGTTCATATTTCGCATACAAACACTCTTCCAATGGTCAACCTTGTGGCGATTACCTATGTTAGATCAGCGATGGCTATGAAAGGGATGAAATCAGAGAATAGGCGGCAACATTGAGCTCGCCAATCCGCCTGCCAAGCGTGGTGTGGTGAGTATGGAAAGTAATCTCCCCCAAATTGCTGTGTTTGCTGATGGAAATCTACGGAGACACAATTGATTCTGGATATTTATACCTAACCTACCTAATATTATACCTATTGATCTAGCAATCATGTGCTGCCAGGCGTGCCGCAAATTGATAATTTTAAAGAGAGATAATATTTATTTTGTTTATGCATTTTAGGTCTCAAGGATGGAACGTATTAAATAGTGCTGCAATAAGGAAAACTATACGACAACCCTTATACTGCTATGAGGCTATGGCATGATTGTACTTGTGTGACGAACGCCGTCTGAGCCCGGAACCTTTACGGCGCAGACAGTTGCACTACCACTGCATCATATCAATCAACCAACAAGTGGCAATAAAATAAAACTATTGTTTTGCATTATTTATTGTATTTTACTTGCTATGCTATCTACTCAGCAGTTAGGAGGTAAATGGTGGGTAATAAGAGCCCTTTCACGCTAGAGATTTGCTCCGGCAATTTTTCGGTGGAGAGCAATTGCGACGAGGACGCGACGGTTTGCGGCGACTAGCGGCATACACGCAGCTATATAATATCGCTGCAATATGCGTTCTCGCGGTAAAAACAAAGTGGGATGGTTGGTATTTAATTCATAAAATTGACTCTTATGAGAAGCCCGCGGTGATAACGTGGCGATCGAAAAATCGCGATGATAACGCTTCGTGCATGCTGCGATGCGAGCTGTCGCCTGCTCGTTGCGATCACGTTCCGTCGAGTAATAGCCGAAAAAAAATCGCCTGTGTGAAAGGGCTCGTAGTGTTCGTCACTGGATCAGGAGGAAATTCTGTGCCGTGTTTTGGAATTATCTCTTAAGTTTACAGTGTTTCCAGTATCCAGTAGGATTCCCTGCTATTTAAGGGAATGCACGTGTTAAATGCCAAAGTGTTAAGTAATGAGATCAATCTGTTTTTAGGTTATGTATTATTTTTATAAATAACTTTGAATACCGGGTTTTTATAGAAAAGAAAAGCTGAAGGTAAATAAGTGGTTATTTATTATCCATTTAGAACTACTTCAGCTTTGAGGCATTTTAGACGGGAATCCTTTGCCCCGTGGGCAATCTTCTTTGGTACAAAGTAAAAATTGTTTCAACCGAGCTGAGCTTGGCTGTACAAACATTTAAAGCCGTTATGAACAAACCAGAAGTATATTTTCCGTTACACATTTACCTAAATTTCTTGTCCGTTTCATTCATTGTCATATCACAAAATTTCATCTAAATAGTTTGATTACAGTATTAGAAACAACTAAGAGATAAGTACTTTATATTAAGTAACACAACGAAATCTATCCTAAAAAACTATCAAAATTTTGTTCATAGACCTTTAAACCACCTCTGTCTAAGCTAGGCACTTTCTGTTTAAAATTGTGAATGAGCTGTTATGGAAATAACTGTCGGGACATTTTGTGTAGTTACAATAAAACATCTTAATATTTAAAGAAGAATCACAACAAAATAATAAGCTGGCAATATTTCATGGACTTAAGATGTGGTTCCACTGTGGGGTGAAATGGTGTCGATGTTTCAAGATCAATTCTTACTCCACCACGGAGTAAAAGCACCCAACTACAGTGCGCGCGCGATTTCATGACGATCCTGAAATATGCGTGTTCTTGTCGCACACACCGAAGAACTGGCAAGTTTGACAAGAATACTTCATCGGTCATATGGTCATGAAATCACGCGCGTACTATAGATTTTATTCACACTGAATGCAAAGCGCAATGAAATTAAAATGTGAGACGATGCAAAACTGCTTCCGGTGCACCTGCCCATACAGTGCGAACTGCGGCCATGTTATTGTTATTACTTAGTATACAAGTAGTTTAAACCACGAAGCAGTGCCTTTAATTGTATCTCATTTTATATCTGGATTTAAAGCACTTTTACCCATGTTTAGTATGAATTATAACTTGAAAGATAATTTAAGAACAGTAGTATCGCTACAAGACTAAAGTACAAACCAACAATACTCCTGAAAAATAGTTAAGTTTTGAATTTCCCAGGGAGCACCATTAAAATATATCTTCATCTGAAACTTTGTGTGAATCGCACAATTCTATTTTATTTATAAAATACATGAGTTTGCCCTAATATTAAGTTACATAAACTACACATAATTGATCGATCAATGTAACAATATAATTAATTATTAAAAAAGTTCTTTGGCACGAACGTTCCCTATAGTCTATCAAAATGCTGACATTCAAAGGCATCTATATTGAGTTAGGTCATTCTAGAAAGTTGATGAGGCTCCGTTATCAAAGGTCATGGATATGAAATGAAGGTCTTGCAAAATGTGTATACTTTAGTTATATAGTGACTGTATTAACTATTCACTTTAAGAGTTTGTCTTTGAATATGAACCTTACTGCTAAACTTACACTCAAACTTAATTTCACCTGTAAGAATAACAATTAAGCTGAAGATACATTTAAGTTCTTTGCTGTAGGAGTTTAGAGGTAGGGTGAAACATGGTGTCACTGGAAACATTTCAGTTATAAAATTAAATTACTCCTAACAAAGCCAAAAAGTAACACCAAGTCGATAATATTATTTGAGTTTCGAAGGGCATTTTTGTAATGTCAACCTATGTTCTCCTGTTGTATGGAACTGAGATGTTTTCCTTTCATCAACTTCAAATCCCCACTACCTCTCATTTTTAAAAACGTTATTTTTATCATTCCATCTCGACTTCATCGACTTGAATGAAGCTTCAGCTTTGTTTATACAGGGATTAACAAAAAGGGTACAACAAACCGAAAGGAGGTCAGGGTACTCTTGAAACTAAACAGCTTTAAAAAAAATGGAACATGGGTCGAAATATGAAAAATAAAATTGGTCCTCCCATAGTGAATCATACAACTGATCGGCGATTTTGTATGGAAGATACAATTTTTTTTCGTCTATCGATCGACTAATGTTCCATAGGGAAAGTTGTTTAGTTTCATGTGTACCTTGACCTCCTTCCGGCTTGTTAAACTTTTTTTGTTACTTCCTGTATTTTAATACATATCCGATAATAGGCAACCCATTAACTCAATTAAAATTCATATACATCTAAGTTACTCAATTAAGTCAGTATAATAATAATATTCTATTTATATAAAAATTGCTAACGAATCATAGATTTAAAAAAATAAGCGAAATATGTTCATTTTGCATAGCGTTGAGGTGGTTGGATGTGCACATTATGCAACGTGGAAATAAAAGAATATTTTTTCATTGGCAACACTGAAGACGTACGCTATGCGAAAACATTAACTGGGAATAAATAGCTCTGTTTCTATTTTTGGCTTTTGTATTGTGCGCTGTTTAGGAGCAGTTTATCAATTCATAAGCCGCGTCCAGATATGCATGCCTCTAGTACGTGATCATTGTGGCCGTGCCTCGTCCGATTCACCCGGGAGCTTAGCCGCATGCCTCGGGCGAGGCACGTCCAATGAGGCGGTGAGGCGGTGAGCACGCGAGGCTACGCGTTGTATCTGGACGCAGCTACATAATGACGTAACCAAATAGATAAAACAAGTAAATATATATAATTTTGCTTACATTTCCGTAATAATGATAAGTACTTCTACTTAGTGCCAAAGGAGACAAGGCGCTTTTCTATCTGAAACACCCAAATGGGGACTAAAAAAATTAGGGACTTAATCTTATTATTACTTTGAAATGCAGTCGACAAATGCGAGATTATCCTAACCAATATCGTTTTAAAACCAGTCTATATTAACATGGCTGAGGTAATATGATTTCGGACATCGCACACATCTACCTATCTACTTATACATTACTTATTTAAAATCCTAGATAAAAACCTAACATCACGATTGAGGCAAAGCCTTACGATTTTGTGACATGAGAATGACAAACTGATGATGATCGAAGCATAATAGTTAATACAAGGTTAATACCAGGTTATTTTTCGTCATAATTTTTAGTTAATTTAAGTAATGATTTAGTAGACGATAACTAATAATAATTAAAATAAAAAATAGGGAATAAAACGCACTCTATTGTTATCCCGGCAGCAATCTTGTTTGTTTTCTTTTCTCTACAAGAAGTAATCATAGCGACGTTTTGTCGTGAAAATAAATCAAGATGGCCGCTAAGACAAACCTCGTTGGCTCTTAAAATAATTACATTTTCAATTCTTTTGAGTGCGTAAATATACATATAACGCGAGCGAGTTTATGACTATTCTAAAATATGCGCCTCCTTGTCGCTTACGTTAGTACCACGGCGAGCATATTACGAATGGTCTGTACTCGCGCGCGAACTTTGTCTTTTAAACTATTTAAAAATAAAAAGAATGAATAATTCACTATCGCATTATTGCTAGAGTCTACAATGTAACTTCGCAACTGGCATACTTGGTCACCCTGTAGTTGCTGAGTAGAAACGGTGTAGGAACTAGGTCGACGCCGCGCCGCTGGTGCAGCCGCCGGTTCAGGGTCACGCACGAGTCGTGCTCCTGCGGCGCCGGTACAACCACTGGGGAACGACATTTGTCTACATTAGATCGTCGCTTGGAGACCAGTATTACAGGCGCCTCGCGCGCCATTTCCCTAACTTGTGCCAGTATCAAGTGATTGAAATTTCACATGCATCGATCGGTGCATCGATAGCTCAGTAGCAGAGCAGTGGGGTCAAGGGTGGGGCGCTAGCCCATGCGGCCCGGGTTCGAGCCCCGGTCGATGCATGTAATTGTTTCAATTTCTTATTTTCATTTTACGAGAATCATTTGTCTTTAAATTATTAAACGAACAAGGATAATTCATATTTATTGTTTATCACGACTAACCTTGTTATTTTAAGTCGAGGCTTATAGAGTACCGACGTTTCGATGCAATACCTGCATCATCATCGGGAGGTCGACAGGTCGCTCTCTACTCTCTCTCTCTATAAGCCTCTACTTAAAATAACAAGGTTAGTCGCGATAAACAATAAACATAATTTGTCTTGTTAATCAAAAAAATACTTTTCGCAAGTTATACAGGTGTGCCTAAGGGGCAGCTCCAAACCATAGCAAAGCAGAAGCATGTTTGGGCTGTAGTCGTGTGTGCAAAACAGAGTCATAGGCGACTATAACACAGACAAGATCCATCTGTGCTACTAGGTACAGCAAGACGTAGCAGTGTCGTCGTGTTTACGATCCCAAGAGTTTATTGATGAAAGACGCTTAAATAGGTTCGATATGAAACGAATACTGTGTTGTAGTCGGGTCTCTGTCGGGACGTCTGTGCGATGTCAGAAACTACATACAGCACATACTACTTGTTTGTTGAAACGAGAGTTTGTGCTGACGTAAGAGTATCATGAAATTCATGTAACTTACGAAAGAAATAAATGTATAGACTTTAGCAATGCGCTACCTGGTCGCCTGGGCAAGGTGGCGCAGTGCGCGGGTCAGACCCAGTACTGGTTGCGGCGCAGCATCGGGTTGGGCGCGGCGCCCGCTCGCACCGGGTACGCCGACTCGCTCGCCTCGTAGCTACTCCAGTCTTCTGCCTGCGATACAACACATTTTATGAGTATGTTAACAGCCGATGTGGCGCAGTGGTTAGTACGACTGCTTGCGACGCAGTAGCTTCCGGGTTCAATTCCCGGTGGGGTCACTCACAAAGCTAATATTTATCTCTTTGTGAATTTGTTCCCAGTCTGGTTAGGACATTGCAGGCAGGACCACCTGATTGTCCGAAAAGCAAGATGGTTCCATGCTTCGGATGGGCACGTTAAGCCGTCGCTCTCGGTTGCTGTCTATGATCTAGATCATTTAGACGGCGGTCGTTACGCAACCATGTCAGGGGCCAGCTACTTTCAGTAGGCGGTTGAAAAACTGACAGTACTGACACAAGAGTTCATCAAGTCGTTGGACGACTTCGTGTCTCACTCGAAGGAGAAGAAGATAAGTATGTAAAGGGTGTTTAGTTTAGTTAATAGTTATAGCCATCAGTGAAGACGTGCCTCGGCCGAAGCAGCACATGCTGATGCTTGGGCTAACGCGCGCGGACTGAGCCAAAAGGTGTGGGAAAAAACAGTTTGGTCAAAGGCGCGTCCGATAGGGCCGAACTTGCTTCGTCCGTATATAAACATTTGCCTTATTAATGACTCCAATTATTTGATTATGTCAGAGCGTTGTATCATGGGTGGATGGTTGACTGCTAGCGGCGTCACCTTGCAGCGAGACTTACATCGGTGTGGTCCTCGGTGCCGTAAGGGTAGCGCGCGTTCAGGTCGGGCAGCCCGGCGTCGGCTAGCGGCGTCACCTTGCAGCGACACTTACATCGGTGTGGTCCTCGGTGCCGTAAGGGTAGCGCGCGTTCAGGTCGGGCAGTCCTGCGTCGGCTAGCGGCGTCACTTTGCACGCGACACTGCCGCCCGACGGCAGCGGCGTGCTCGTGCCCGTGTGCACCGACTGCTCCGACGACACGTATCTGCGAGTTACAAATAACAAAGCATATTAAGAGGTTTTTGGAAACAAGTGTAATATACTGGGTGTAAAGGTACCGAATACTTTACAAATCATTATAAGACCATGATTAACAAATTTACTATGGAGCCTTATTTGTATGAGAGGTAATTTTTTCCTCGTTTGTCAACATAGCTTCCATAAAAAAGCGTCTCATAGTCTGACGGATCTGATTTCGCGGTACACCATTCCCTACATTACGGAGAGTGAATGCTTTAAAAGAACAGAGCACGGAACATAATAGTAGTTTATGCAACTGCCTAATAATGAGAGGCTTTAGGATGAGAGTGTCTGTTTATCACACGAGGCGCATATTTAGTTTGACACGAGCATTCTAAAGCCTAATTATTTGAAGTTGCATACACTATTTTATCTACACTCTACAAGAAAAACTATGAAAAATAATTCCAACCTCCGCACTGCACTATGGCGATTGCAAGCCTATCTACTGAACCACCAACTCAACGACTTTTATACATAAGTAACTTTTTAACTAAACGTTAAAATGGAGGTTCATAAAAACTGAACAACTTTTAAAATTAAATAGCATTTATCGGTGAATTTTAATTCGAAAAATGATTTGAAGCAAAGATTTATTATTAAATAAGTCCTCATAATTTCAAGTGTCGTCCCATTCTTTGATTGTGTCGTGACATTTGTTTTTTTTTTATTATCTTACTGCTAAATGTCGATAGCATAAAGTCAGAAAAAAGTACTTTATGACATCGACATTTTATTTTATGATATCGACATTTTTTTTTAAAGGCTGAATGGCTGTAAAGCAGTTGCTTATACATTTGCTTTCGAATTTGTAATAGGAACATTATGTATGAAGTGTAGATAAAAACTTTCGTGCCTTTCGTGCGTGCCTTGCGCAGGCGAAGGCATGAGGTGGTCCGGCGGTCTCGGCAGCGGTATGGGCGCGACGCCCTGCGTCTGGCCGTGGATCTTGGCCAGCTGGTACCTTCAGATAACCTGCAACATGTCGTACCTTTTGATAGGAGGCGTGCCTTGCGCAGGCAAAGGCATGATGTGGTCCGGGGGTCTCGGCAGCGGTATCGGCGCGACGCCCTGCGTCTGCCCGTGGATCTTGGCCAGCGCGTTCTGTTCGCGCAGCAGGTACCTTCAGATAGCCTCCGACATGATGCAGTACCTTTTGATAGGCGGCGTGCCTTGCGCAGGCGAAGGCATGAGGTGGTCCGGCGGTCTCGGCAGCGGTATCGGCGCGACGCCCTGCGTCTGCTCGTAGATCTTGGCCAGCTTGTACCTTCAGATAACCTCCGTCAGGATGTCGTACCTTTTGATAGGCGGCGTGCCTTGCGCAGGCGAGGGCATGAGGTGATCCGGTGGTCGTGGCAGCGGTATGGGCGCCACGCCCTGCGTCTGCCCGTGGATCTTGGCCAGCGCGTTCTGTTCGCGCAGCAGGTACCTTCAGATAGCCTCCGACATAATATAGCCATACCTCTTAATAGGCGGCGTTCCTTGCGCAGGCGAGGGCATGAGGTGATCAGGCGGTCTCGGCAGCGGTATCGGCGCCACGCCCTGCGTCTGCCCGTGGATCTTGGCCAGCGCGTTCTGCTCGCGCAGCAGGTACCGCCGGCACTTGAGCAGCCCGAAGATCACCACCACCGCCAGCACCGTGCCCGACAGCGCCACCAGGATCATCAGGTAGTAGGACGCCGTCTCGCCGTTCGCTACCTGCAACCGACATCCGATTGTATCCACAATTATAGCATAAAGCTGCGTGTGTTCCCGTTGTCCCCGGTGAGCGTGACCCCGTCACGGGGACAACGAGACGTCATTGATTTTACTTCCCATTGTCACCGTTATGAGAGCCAAAGGGGACATTGCCTGTATGTGTCATTTTCGCCTTCAAAGCAAGGTTTGGTAGGGTGGGGCAAGGCGTGGCTTGGTAAGATATTGCCCCAGCCTGCCAAATATACGAACGGATGAAATAAATAAAAAATATGACCTAGATCTGGTCAACTTACCGGAACAGCCTCATGACTCTCGGGATCATTCGGACCTGGGATGTTCTTCTTAGGTCTATTTCCTATAATAATTTTAACTTCTCCAACAGCTGGTTGAAAAATAGCTGCCGCTAGTAAAAACTTAAAGTTATCTTCTAAACCATTCAATTCCATCAACTTCTTTCTCGTTACGAAATATATTACACCAGCCTTTATGTCTTCATGACTGAAGTATGCTACTTCACGCTCTCTAGCGCTGGTCTTTTCTCCTGAACTTCTTATTATCTTCTTCAGTACCCCATGGGAAGGTTTTCGTATTATCGTGTAAATGGGATCGCTGGCGGTGAGTGTTGCCAGACCAGTAGCATCCATGTTGCTAAGAGTGATTTTCGTCTTGTCAGATTCAACTCGCAAAAGCCCTAAATGCATTAGCGGCTGAACAAACACTTCTACAGTAAACGGACGGGTTGTATTGCTATTATGGACATACGCTATAAGCTCGAAGCTATCATTAGCCGTAGTCATGTCATTCTGCATATAAATGACCACTCTATCCATCAGGTTTTTATGTGAGAAATAATTGACAGGGTTTCTTCCAACATAAATCATGCCGTATTGTGGCTCTCGCGTTATGTTGTACCAAACTTTAGAAACTTTGGCGTTTGTTTCGAGGTGTATTTGATCAGTGGTTAGTGTAGCCACGTTGTGACCTTGCTGTAGGTGTATTGGGTGCAGCGAAGTCGCGTTGAGGACCACTGGCACCACGTCGATGGTGAACACCGTGTAAGTCGGCTTGAACTGTCCATCCCATACTCTAAAGTAGAAAGTTGCCGTCTGTAATATGCCCGAATGTTCATAAATTATTTTCCCATTATTTATATCTTCTTGTGTGAACTTGTTTATGGATTGAGCTTCATCTATAGTCTGATTTTTGTCGAGCATTACGACCCGGCCCTGCGTGGGTCCGCTGATGATGTCGTACAGTATGCCGGACGGGCCGGTGTCCGCGTCTTCAGTCAGCAAATCGTTTCTCGTGAGAGTATAGTTCTCCCCTTGCACTACTTGTATCTGAGGCGTCTCTGTTAACAACCTAAAAGGCTGATCATTTACAGGTATGATGTAGATGGGTATACTGACATTGCATAAGAGCACATAATCTGGTAACAGATAAAGAGCCATATCTATTTTATCTTGTAGAGTATCAGAGCCATCGTGTTCATAGTTCACAACTCCACTCTCAAGCTGGGTTTGGGTCAAAGA